CCCTCGTGTGTGAATATGCCATAGCCAGAGCTCGCATCACGCAAGATTGTCTGTGAAAGTGTCATTTCGTGAAATGTCGACGGGAACGATGAACTCGTGGGCCTCAGCTCCTTCGAATGTGAGTGCTTGCTGTTTATTTTCTTAGGCCTGAAACAGCGGCTTTAGTGCGAAAGTCGGCATGCCGGTCAGGCGATCTGAACCCATCTCAAAAGGGATCAATATCTCACGAAACAAAGCCATCGAGTTACATGAGATCTGACAGCGTTCAGCATTTCTGGTGGAAAGAGAGGATTGCATCAAGCGTGACCAAACACGGAATGACACAAACGAGACCTGTCTCTCATGCCACGAGTATCTCTAGGCTCCCAGCATTTCACTGGCATTCGAGCATTTACTGCTACGATATCATTGATAAGTTTTTAACGAGGCTCTCACTCGTCCATACCCGATCGAAGATCTGCCAAACATTGACGTACAGGTCTCCGTAGTTCCTGAGAATTTTTTTTTTTGAACAGCAAACCCTTCGACTATAACGACGTTACCAATGGTTCTGGCTTAACTGATAAATTCCCTTTTAAATGGAAATCGTATATGTACTACGCTAAGGTACTAACCCTATGCCAAATGTCATCACGGAATTCTTGCTTTCCAAGAATTTTCGGGTCCGCACGTTGGATTTTTCGCGTCCACCCATTAGGGGAAACTAAACCTGCCACTTTCGATCGGAGACGTTGCGAGGAGAGAATAAAATGAAAAAAAATTGTATCCATTGAAAGGGAAGAAAGGAACGGAGAGGCTTTCGAAAATTTCGTACATTCCCCCAACCAGACACCCCTCCCCCGTCATATGACCAAAAAAAAAATGCAGGCTGCGTCCTTGAACGCCCATGCCAAAAGCATAAAGAACCTTTCCTCTGCGATAGAGGAGGAGGTGTCGCGTTTATTTTCTCGAAGAACGTCGTGGAAGCTCTCGCGAGACCTACGTTTGGATTGCGGAATGATTTATCGCATCGGATTGTAGACACTAAGCACAGTTGGTCTCGCCTTAGAGATTTTCCCAGGGACTCCATTCCCATCCGTTCGAGAGCTTCACCCTGGCTGCGCTAGATGTCTCTCTCGAAGGTACGGCTCGGTCTGCATTTTCGCTCTTAATAAGGGAACAATTGACCATAGAGAAGAAATCCGTCGCTACCTTCGCCTCACGTTTCTTTCCGATACCAAAGCCCAGACTAGGAAGAGCGTAATATTGTCTATGGCGTCTAATCGGGCGAGTCTCTTTTATATTTTGGGGGCCGGAGAGAAGTTGAGAGGAGTGGGTCTTTGCGCCCAAGGCGATATTTGGATTAGACGAGTCCTTTCAAGTAAGTGTGCGTGGAGAATGTATCACAGGTGTATTACCGTAATGTACTTCGACTTGGGCGACCTCAATGGAGTTGAATGGTGCTGGCGTGCAGCTCCTAAAAGAAAATGAGTGCATTTACGGTGCAATTTTCTTTTAGTCTCTCATTGAATTGCAAAGCCTGTTTCTCAATCGAGACATTCTTGGTCATGTCATTTTTGCGCCAAGGTAAAGTAATCTATTTTGTGGTGGAACTCAGAATATTTTTAAATCGAGTACGTGGAAATTGACACTCTAACGCGGAATCTTTTGCTTTTTCCCTGACGTCGTGTAAGGAAATTTATTTTTAAAGGCCTATATGAAAGTCTGCATTATGTAAAAGAGAAGGGCCGAGGAGGGAGCCAAACGCTTGAGTATCCCGGCGGCAAAAGTTTTCATATATTTTATTTCCCAGCTCTCATCATCGTGGTATGAGTGCATGGTACGTGAATTCTTGCTAGACTCTCTCCTGAAGAGGTGAAAGTCACAATGGTGGTTTTTCGAATGTCGCAAAATACAAGTGAAAGAATGGCATGGCCTGGTCCTCGACCTTGGAAAATTTCGGAATGAAGCCCCAATGTAATTTTTTTTTACTCTTCATTTGATAGTCACACTTCTGATAATCACGAGCATTGCATATCCTGCTTCGATTATGCGATTTCTCAAATCAAAAAGTACATTAAAGTTAGGGATCTTTAGATTTGCATTTTAGTTTGCATAGGCCGAACTTTAACGGTACCGTCCATCTATTGTTAAAGTTCAAACAACGATGATACATTAAGATGCCTTTGACGAATCGACGCCAGTACATCCCAAGCGCTATAGTTTAAAATTCTTCGAATTGCAGAATCTTTAGAGAAGGCATTCTTGAGTCCATAGCTGGGACAAGTGGCAGGCAATCCCATCCTACAAAGGGAATGTGGAATGAATCTGCTCTGGACGCGAATGCAGGAAACGCGGAGCAGCTCGGGGGAACGATCGAGAGTGAATGGGATTTCTCATTTGCTGCCTTATGGATGACGTGAGGGCCTCACCCTCGCGTCACCCGTGAGTAGTAATGATGACGTCGACAGAAAAAAATCTTCGTGTTGCCCTTGAAGCGCAGGGTGTCAGTAAGACCAGCGGTTACGCTATCAAAAATGTATATTTACTAGAAGAAATATTTTGGAAATCGAAATTACCACCACACTGAGCGGGGAAAAATGAAAAATGACATTTCTTACCTATAGATTCGTTTGCTACTTCCAAGCCGTCGCACAGAACTACGCGCAGGACGAGTAAAGTGGCATCATCAAATGCGGCGTCGTTTTCACATAAATCTGGATTCTCTTTCATTACATTTTCAAACCCTCCTGGAGTCGGATCGTCTTCTTTTCGATTCATCACATGGATGTAATGCCTTGTATTTTCTGGCAGGAAGCATGCTCAGGAAAGGTACTTATGCGAAACGATACTTCCAAATGATCAAAATGTGCTTTCACGATGAAGCCTTATTAATAGACCATGTATGGCAGTGTTTCCATGACTTCGAATCGCGACCCACTTGCCGGCGTTCAGAAAATTTTGCGAACTACCGGAATACGAAACGAGGTATTTTCAAAGTAATTGAAATGTGAATAAAATTCGTTAAACTTTTCTGCACCACATGTTTTATCCTGAGCGGATGCGGATATAGTGATTTTTTATTATGCGGAAATTTCTCGCGATCCACAGTTTGGGAACCGTTGTTGCAGAGCAGGGGGGCACAACATACGGCCCGCGAGGACCTTGCCCCGCGGCCTGCCATGATTAGTGGCGTTGTAAGTGCTACTATGGCTCCTGCCCTGTTGGCCATAGCAATGGTCAGCCAGACTAGTAAAGGTGGGTGGTCTGGCAGCCGTACGACCCATGGTATGTTAAAATCGCAAATGGCCATCACAGTCTTTTGAGTAGTGCACCGCTGCTGGAGAGCATTTTGAATCATTAAAACGAACACGGTTCATACTAGCGGCTGATCCAGGGGGGGGGGGGGGGGGGACCACTATGGCTTGGTTCGCATTCTATTTTTTTTTTTTATTTACGAGTAAATTTTAAAAAAGCATCTAAGAGAGCTTATTATTTATTGGGACCTGTGAAATAGATATCTAAGTTTTTACCCAAAACTAAAAATTTTTTGAAAAAGGCGATAGAACAGGGAGTGGTGGTGGGAACTAGGAAACCGCCCCTCCTCCCCCCCTTTCCGTGTGGCCTTCGTTCTTCGTTATCTCATTTACCGGATATTACACTGGAGTTTTGTCGGGTTGGTAACCGAAGCCAATTTGCTGCCGAATCTACCGAATGCGTTTTCCCGCTGTATTTATGGGATACGACGAGACCGGAAGGTGATTGACGATCGATGTGGCATCGCGTCCATGCCGTCCGTGGACCTCCCTGGCCCTGACTGATGACGTCCGATGTTGATGTGAACTGTGGAGGCAGTGAGGCGGTCTGTCCGCAGATGTTCTGGTCGACGGGGTTCGAGAAACTCGCGATCGCGATATCAGCGACGTGTTCGACCCTTAACTCGAGGGTTGAGACTCCGGCCGAAAAAGGAAAGCCTCACCCGAAGACAGTCCGTGGGCTGGGCCCAGAAACTCTCAATCCCTATTTTTGCTTGCGATTAATTACAGCTCTTGTGATTTTTGGTCTTGCGTTGAGTATATTAAGACTACTCATCGCATTACTCTAGTAGAAGAAAGGAGAAAGAAAGAAGAAAGAAGGTTTCCATATTACTAAATTCAGACTATTTCCAGATACTTAAGTGGAATGAAAAAAGTACCCTGACTTTACGAACAGCCTGTCGCAACATGCCAAACGCTAGTTCCCGTGTCTGATTATAGATGTCATTCCAGTCGCGATGTCATTTACAAGATAGGGTATTGGATTCTGATTGGCCAACATGGACAAGAAATCGTTTATCTGAGAGCTGCCCCAACACCGTAGAAGATCCTTTCACAAAGCCCTTTGAAAATGCCTGTAATTAGAGGCATTTTCAAAGTTTCACACCTTATCTTTCTGGTGTTTGACGACGATACGGAAAAAGTTTGAAAAGTTTCTGAAAAGTTTGCCAAACTTTTCAGAATGAGCTATTTCAGGGCTGTGCGAATCAGCGAATCTTATTTTGAGTAACCTTTTGAAGATCGTTTTACAAGAATCTCGTGTGTATGGTAAGTGATGCAAATTCGGGCCCCTTAAGCTTGAAATTTGCCCCGTCATCTACGCTTTGAAATTGATGGCTTTGGGATCTGTGCCATTCGAGAGGAAAATGTCCGTTTGCCATTTTAGATTGAAAAATGGTGTAATTTGGTTGAAAAGGCTGTTAGGACTTCTTATTACGCCGAATTACGTAACGTAGGGGGGGGGGGGCGGCCTTCATGACAGGGTCGGAATTAATCTCACTTACCCAACCTTGAACTGCGGACCGAAAGCATGACCCATACAAAACGTGCTTTTTATTTTCTGCCATATTTCATCCACAGTCACTCGGAAAAGGAAATAACATCCGATTGGGATGGAGAGGAGTATTACGCTCGCGGCAGGAAGTGCTGATAAGACAACATCCACGAAGAGAAACTCTCCTTCACGGTGCGAGAGGGATTCGGGATTTAGATGCAACGGGTAGAGGGGAGGATCTCGCCATCTTCCGAGGGGAGGTTCAGGTGCAGTCGGTGGGGGTGGTGAAGAGGAGGGGCTGATAGGACAGGATCCGGGACGATGAGGTCTTCTTCACCAGCACTCTTACTCGGTATGTAGTCGCTGGTGACAGCCCTCTCACCCACTCGAACGTCGCGTTGCTGCAAAACAGAGAATTGAAGGCTGAGGGGGAGAAGTGGATCGAGTTATGCAATGTGTGTGCCTGGGACCAAAAAAAAAGTTGTCCGTAACTCAATATAAAATACTTTGCAAAAGTCCACAGAGAGAATATTTCCTTGAGATTTCTTAATCCCTTGTATTTGGTCGCTGCTATGCTTGCATCCCCATCTTGGCATGAAAGCCTACTTGGCTAATTGTTTTGGTTTTCTTCCATGCTCTTTTTTTATATGCAAAATTTTACGAACTCTATTCAACGCTGCAGTACTGTCCCCCAACTCAGGTTCACTGGTTGGAACATCATCTTTTCGGATGGTCATCCGGCCGATGAGTTTTCACCGGTGTTCACTCACAATGTCGCAGTCTGTAGAGATCGCAGCCTGCAGGCCAACTTGGACGCGGAGTAGCGTTCGTTGATGAGGCACTGACCGAGCGATCCTTCGAGGGTGGCGTTGTCTTTGGCAGTGACCTCGTGGACGACGAGGCAGTACGTTTGGGAATAGGGGTCGGGTGAGGGGACCCATAATAAAAGGGCCGATCTGCACTCCATTCGACTCGTCCGCACTCGCGTGTCTTTCGGTAAAACGGGATAGGGAAACCTCTTCTGGTTTCGACCGACGGCCACGTGAACGGACTCCGGGATCCCCTCCGGTGATCCTAGTTTCAACTCCAGCCACGATTCGGTGAGTTCCTTGAGGTGGAAATACTGGTGGTCCCGAACCGTGACTTTAGGCAAGACCAAGGACTTCTCTTGCATCAACTCCACGGTCGTCAGTCCTTCGCAAGACCAGATCCCCAAGTAGAGCTCCGACTTTCGGACCTTATATCTCAAATACTTCGTGGTCTTGACCGTGGCCGTCTCCTCCTTTCCGTCGCGCAAGCGTAATCGTTTCAACCTCTTTCGGCGTTTCCTGTGCCGGATGGTGATGATCGCCTTGGGAGTCGCCGTCGTGGGGAAGCTTTCTTCCGCTAAGGCCCTCGTGTACAGATGCATCCCCGGGCCCGGGTTCCGCGTGCCGATCCCCAGGACGTGAAGACCGTCTTCGGGTCGGAGACTCGTCCAGGGCGGGTCGTGCTGGTACATGATGGTGGCCTTGCCGTACAGGAAAGGCACCTTGGTCTCTGTGTCCACGGCGAACAGGTTCAAGAAATACGTGCGACCGTCGGCGAGGTTCGCCAAGGTGTAGGTGTTGTTCCGGTCGACGCAGCCGAGGACGATGTCCGAGGCGGTGCCGTTGAGGAAGCGACGGACGGGGACCTTCGTCTTGGTCCCGTTCCCCTTCACGATGTTGTACGCGACCTGCGACATCCCGTGCCGTTCCGCCTGCGCTTCGCACAGCGTGTTGTAGAAACGCCGCGGGTTCATCACCAGGCAATACGATAGGTTGTCTTCCCATCTGCAAGGAGAAGCAAGCTTCAAGCCTCTAGGAATAACGAGTGGGATGATAACAATATTATGATTGTCGAATCCTACGAATTTCCATGACTTGCAATAACGCTCCTGGGAACTTGTAAAATAAAAGCGCGAATGACGCAATGAATGAATGAACTCTTTGTGACTGTGAATGTAAGAAAAAGACAAATAAGAAAATAAAAATAAACATCGGGGAAAATCAATAGATACATGGAGCAGTGCCTGCGTTGACGAATGAATGAACCAGTCACGGGAAGAAGAGCCTGAGCAAAGAAGAAACAGTGATGAAAACCTAACAGTGTGGGACTTCATGGAACAACGAAAACCTCAGATTTACCGAGTCGACTCTCGGGCCTCTCGTTCAAGGTCTACTTTCCCAATTCTTGACGGGAAGGAGGAACAGATTTTTCGTTGCACGACTCGGGTGGAAATTCAATTTAAGAAAAGTTGGATGTATTGCGATGCGTTTTGAAAGTCATCTTGCCTGCGATTCCAATGAATGGTGGCAGAGTGTCGCAGTCCCCTGTCCAGGACGGTGAGGTTGGCCCAAGGCAGGTCCTTCTTCGTCAGCAAGTGATTCTTCTTGCTCGTGAAGAGGTGGACGTAGGAATCCCGGTCCATCGGCCGCACCTCCACCAGCACCACACCTGCAATTGCATCGGCATGAGTTGCCTCGTTGCCATTTCCTGTTCGTATACCGCGCTGCGAAAATCTGCGAGTGCGTTTTATTTTCAAATAGGTGCGATCTTAGATTTGTGTTTTCTAACCTTTCTCCAAGTTGGCCTTGTGGAAGGTCCTCTGGAAGCGGGAGTTATACTGGGCCCAAACCACTGCCGACCACTGCCCTATACGGATTGCAATTTGAGAGGCCTTTTTTTAAGAGCAACTCTTCGCACATATTCCATCGGTATAAGTTCAGCGGAAAGTACCGTGAAAGTCATTGAAATTGTCTTCGTCGGTATGAGATCGGAACCGCACCGTCCAGGATAGGGCGGAAACGCATGGGGTTACGGTGATGCTCACTTCCTCCCCGTTCTCTGTCTGGATGAAGAACCTATAGATCATCCCAAAATCGATCAGAAATCATGGTTAAATTAATTCGTTAGCTGTCGTCCCCCTCAAATCAATATAACTTATCTTAAAAATAGGCCAATGTGAAATCATCATCAGAAATATCCCCATAAATAGGGGCTGACAATATTGTCGAAAGGGGGAGAGAAAAAAGAATGCCGACAGTAGATTTCAAGGGTGGATTTTTTAACAGAAAATTATCCGATAATGCAGTTTCATTTTCAGAAATTATAATGTATTTTCCCTGAAATAAAGCTGCATTATCGGATAGCCCTCTGTTCAAAAATCCAACCCGAGTCGCAACTCCTGGCAAAAGGAATTATCTTAACTAGACACGATCATGTGACCAAGAGTCGCATCTTACGGGTTGCATCTGTCCGATGTAATAAACATGAATAATGAATCCTAACTTGGCCCATTTTTTTACCCCTCGAGCCTGTATCCCCAGTACGTACTCGCGCCCTGCTGAGTTTGAATCGAAAGAATGTGCTCATGCCATCGATGTGACTTTGCACAAGGCCAACTTGGAGAAAGGTTAGAAAACACAAATCTAAGATCGCACCTATTTGAAAATAAAACGCACTCGCAGATTTTCGCAGCGCGGTATCGGCAGTGGTTTGGGCCCAGTATAACTCCCGCTTCCAGAGGACCTTCCACAAGGCCAACTTGGAGAAAGGTTAGAAAACACAAATCTAAGATCGCACCTATTTGAAAATACTAGGGTAGGGTGAGATGCTTGCAGAAAATGATCAGTTTGAGGGGAGAAGATGCCCCAAAATGGCATAAGGAAGACGAAGTGCGACTCTATCAGGCAGCAATAGCCCTTGAAATTACAATAATTACCATTTTAAATAGCACGTTAGTTTATCCTATTATGGACTTTTTATGTCACTGTATTCCTGCCTATGAGGACTCAATCTATTAGTGTTATTTTTTATTTGAAGATTTTAAAATAAATGGAGTTTCAATAGAGGCCGAATATTCATCTATATTCGACAGTTTTTCTTCACCTTGTCTCAGGATGAATGCTTTGATCAAGGACGCGAGAATCTCATTCTACACTGTTAAAAATTTTTCCCGCCGGGAACTCCTGAAAGCACGTAATAGAACACCTGGAGGCGTTTTTTTACCATGTTAAAGTGTTCCCGATTCCCGGTATGTGCTCTCCAATGCGTTCATGTGTGCAAGGAGGTGCTCCATGAATGTGTTCTCATCTGAAGGA